CTGGGCTATGCGTTCCTTTTTTTTTGAATAGTATATAATCCATTTTGTGAAAACCTGTTAAAAATTCAATATCAGTGAAATGTAATCTTTATGTTTATTTGACATTATGCAACTCCAACATATAGAGACTATACTTGGTTTAGACCATTTTTCCTTTGTTAATGCAAATATAAATTGCCTGTTGATATCAAAAAAGATGTTTTCTTCAGCAAATCTGTAAAAATCTGGGCTTTTTTCCAGAATTCAACTATAGCGCTCCATTTACGGTTACTGAAGAAATGAAGGAATCATTTGATGAAAAGGCTATGTCCTTATAAGGTAGGTTGTAATTTTGGAATAAAGACAAAGGAATCCCAAGATGTAACATCTGAATAGATTGGTTGAGTGCTTCAGGGCACATAACTCTCGCCACCGTTTGCATACAACGAATGAGAAATTATCCTTTTGTCGTTAGTGAACACATTTATATGTGCAATTCTGAGGTGACAGTATTTTAAAATGGCACCAGCATATGTTACTGAACCCATACCAGGAAAATCCAGCCATTCTTCAGTTTATGTGTGTAGCGGAATGACATTTTTCAGATTTCACCCCTCGAATAAAGAATCTTCGAGCTCAAAACCAATTTTCTTACAATATCAAAGAAAATCAAATGTATTACGAGACTTCGACATGTCAAAGATATTCTTGGTTATGGTTTTACAACTGTAAGCTTGTACATGATGTATGTACTTTCGTCATGGTTTTACACATTTTAAGCTTGTCTATTATGTTTTTAATCCACGATTTACGCATGATCAAGGTTGTAGGCCTGTATGCTTGTACACGTTTCTGATCACAATTGTAGACCTATAGAGAGAGTGAGTGCAATCTGGTCAATGATATCTGTGAACATGATTGTCACATGTAGTCCGTCCATGACGTTAATCTTATTATCGTTACAATGTAAGCCTGCCAGAATCAGAATCCGCGATTAGGCCAGGAGCATTAGACATGACATTGGGAAAAACTAGTAGAAATAGCTGAATTGTTCAGGAAAGCTTCAGAACATCATTTGCCATGTACAAGATACAAGTTCTGCAAATCTCTACCTTGTGGCATTTTTCAAAATGGCCGCCAATTTTCAAGATGGCCGCCAAAATCATTAAAATGATTATACAAACAGATGTTGGAAATAATTATGCCGTGTGATATATCAAATGAAAGTTCATCTCACAGGGATTCCAAATATATACAGATATCATGCCTTGTGGTCATGTCCGTTTGATCTCAGTTTTACAGATGTAAACCTTTCCATGATGTTTTGTCATACTTTCAAACATGTATGCCATTCCACAGTCGTTGGAGCATGTTTTACAGGGCCTGTTGGAGAAGGACGAACTACAGAAAATAAAATCAGCATTGGAAGAGAGTGAAGAAATCCAAGGAAACTCCTTTATTGTGAGTTTTTAAAGTCGTGTATTTCAGTTTTATTTCTCTAGAACGTGACAAATGCCATATCAATACGGTTCACACATAAAAGGGAGGTACCATTCGGTTGTAGTATGTGTTTAATGTTCCCCAGGGGCTGAGAATGTAACTACTGATTGTAATGTAGATTGAATGCAGACTGACCCATTGTCTGAAATAATGATACTCTATGAGCAAAGCAAAGGGATACCCGGAAGGATGGGCTGTAGTATGTGTTTAATGTCCCCAGGAGCTGAGGAATGTAATTAATGAGATACAAAACTTGTGAGTCCCCTTTAACCCAACGAAACAGAACACAGACAAGTCTATAATATTCAATCTTATATTGAAAAAACATTAACACAAAGGTTACAATGAATGACAATTACAGCATTTCCAAAACAACACAATTGGAGTCACAAATCTAAAATAATTGGGTCTAAAATGTAAAATATTGTACCACCAGAGTTTTGATATTTCCTGCAAAAAGATGCACTGATTGAAGGTTGTTGACCGTGGCTGTTGAAGTTCAATGTAGACTGAGGCCAGATGAGCAGTTGGTCTTGAAGGGGTGATGTGCTTAGACCAGATGAGCGTAATGCAAAGCAATGCAGTCCCTCATCTAACATAACCATCTTTATGTGCCTATTATATAGTTCTGGACAATTCTAGCGAAAACTTACCCGTAAAGAAAGTCAGGGTTAGAATTGATCTTCAATGGCTCATGCTTTGTCAGCTGAGGCGATTGTACTGGATCGGGTGCTCAGGCTCCGCTGGCTTAGATGACACATGTCATCGGTTCCCAAATGTGCAGATCGATGCTCATGCTGTTGATTACTGGATTGTCGGGTCCAGACTCCCGATTATTTACAGATCGCCGCCATATATCACGGAATGTTGTTGAGTGCGGCGTAAAAGAGCTAAAACCTAACTCACTCACTCACTCACTCTTGTAGGTCACAGAAAGGGACGAGTGGTGCGAATGCTCCAAACAGTAGATCTGAGACCTGCCTCAGGAAGACACGAGTGGTCAGAGATGATTCCGTCACCAGGTTTACACGAGCAATGGAGGAGTTATCACTTCCCGGAATACATCTTTGGGTAATAACGTGCGTTTTGCGGAAGATTTCATAGGCATAATATCCTTTGGAGGTGTAACGGTCTGATGTACTTTATCTCACAGACCTGATGACAATGAAGGAGAAAAAGCCGAGGTAACAATCTGGTGTCAACCCGGAAATGACGTCACAGGAATGCTGTCTCGAAGTCAAAGAGTTGCGGGAACCTCCGCCGAAGTAAGAAACTTCGGAACAGTAGAATTTATTCTAAATATTGGCATT